TGTTGATTCAAGCTGCGCAGACATTTATGAACTGTAGGAAATATTCTGTAACTGTTTTTTGTCATATGTGCCTGAACTGCATGGTTAGAAAATGACTCCGGGAAGAAGTAAATTGTTTTAAACAGTTTCTCGATGACAATAGCACCATTTTGAATTATTTCAAAATTTTCTCTACAAATTTCCATTCGATAGTTCTTTCTCGCATCTTTCAAATGTAATATTACAATATTGCAGTCGGTTGAGTTCGCCATTGTGAATTAGAATGCTGATAAACACTTTTTATATCTCAAGAAGGATTCAAGCTCAGGACACATATCTATTTTGTAGCTGCATGAACTGATACTTTTACTTCCCTTTTAACTCATAGTTGGATCTGCTCGCACTTGGAAACTAGTCTTCTCATTGGTTTTTGCTGAACGAGCAAAATTGTTCTTCCCTAGTATTTCTGAATAAAATAAAAGTGCATAAATCATTGGAATTTCGGAAGGATTTGCTATAAAATAACTTCGTTTTGTACAGGATGCCAAACATGGAGTTCGCTGATGACAATTCTAAGTCTGATAAATCATCCACAAAGGTTGCAAAGGCAGTGCGTAATTTTGATGGTGCATCAGCCTACCTAATATGAAAATTCTTAAATAAATAGAGTACGCTAGTGATGTCAGGTAGGTCCATATTTTTGGGTAGCTATAATAAATCCAAACATAAGAATGCAATTAATTTATCGTGATAAGTAAACGGAAGCTGATATCAAAACATACCCGAAGAGTGCAAATGAACTTCCGGTCTGAATATGATAATTATGAGAGGCATTGTGCATTAAACAACTAGATGCAATTTGAAAAAGCTGGCATCCAGACAGTTTTATAGATATTCAGTTTGCCTTGAACACTCCATGTCTATTGCTTTAAAGTGATTAGCTCAGCTTCCTATTTAACTATTGGTTTTTCACTGTGAGCTTGTTTGTGTGTTTGTGTGTGTATGTGTGTGTTGGCTTTACATTCCAGTATCTTTCTGCTACTACATGATTTTTTTTTGTTGCTATTTTTTAAAACATTTTGTAGAGAAAGCAGAACATTATAAAATACGTATAAAGTTATTTCTTTGGAATTTTGACAACTGAATTACTGTAATGTTTCATAACGTAGAATTTACAAATCAACTATAAAGTATTATTAATTTCAATAGAAAAAAAGATCTTTAATATTGTGAACTGACATTCTCGTTACCGTATGTCAATTTGGAGCAGATGACACCTGTTGGCATATATATATATATATATATATATATATATATATATATATATATATATATATATATATATATATATATATATATATATATATATTCATTAGTCGACTCTCTTTATCCCTCTTTTTAAACTTTTGTTCGTCAGTTCTGGTCAGATAAAGTTCTTCCAGTTTGTTTTATATTAATCAAATACATGTAATATACGATATATATTGTAAGTAAAACTTGAACTGTGTCTCGGGATAAAGTGCATTTCTCATACCTAGACATATCAATGTGCTAAGTAATAGCATCTTTTCTAGAACCATGGATTAGTCTAGTCACCCGTTTGATACTCCCATTTGTGGCTTACGTCGGCATATATGTAGCATGGAACTTTTACATAAGCAGTTCTCGAGAGGCAGATCCAAGCATACTTGAGACTGCATTACAGTGAGTCATCATCGTTTCGTTACAGCCTTTATCTTATCCTTCGCAAATTATAGAATTTGCCACATTGTCATCCGAAGACTTGAAAATAATTTCTCGCCATCCATGTTAGCATAATATTTTTAAGTATCTGAAAACAATTTATCCATTATAGTTGTGGCAATCTTGTTCTCTGGTACTCCTTTTGTGTCAAAGTTTTAAAAATACAGTGTCAAGGATTGTTCTATCATTGTTAGAAAGTTTATGTCTGATACTAATAAAAATGTAATGATATAAACTGATTCTTGTTTGTTGTTTTGTTTCACGAACCCGTTGCTGTACCAAGATTGGTGGTTTTGAAAGCACCGTAAATTATATATATATATATATATATATATATATATATATATATATATATATATATATATATATATATATAGAGAGAGAGAGAGAGAGAGAGAGAGAGAGAGAGAGAGAGAGAGAGAGAGAGAAACAGGTTAGTGTATATAGCTAGCATATGTGTGTCTTAGTTTTTGTGAGAAAGAAAGCTAAATAAAGCAAATTATTTTACATATATTACATATTAGACACTCGGTGATATCCCAATTCGAGTATTTAGATATGCAATGTAAAGAACGCAGTTTATTTGATCTCGTAAATAAAAGTCGCTAGTCCAAAACCAGTTTGCAACCATAACGATTATATTTTGGTTGAAATGCAATGCAGGATAAATGAAGTTAAAAGTGAACTGAATGAGTGCTGAAATTTACACAGCACACATTTTAATTACACCTACATCCTACTACTAGCTAACGAAGATAATATAGTCGCTTATTAAGTAGCTCAAACTGAACTTGTGGCGCTCGGAAATCTTTCTAGTTTGTCACTGCATAGTCTGTTTTATAATCCCCGACGTAACATATTGACTCACATTTTGGATGTTTCGTCAAATAATTCATATGGTTATTAAAGAACAATATCCATACTGCACACGGTGCTTAAGATGGGACACACAAACATAATGTAAAGTGGCAGGAAAGGTTACTTTCTTAAGAGTGAACGTCTTTTTCTCAATATATCTTGGCAATGGTGACTCAGTATTAAAGGGAATATATCAGATCCTATGTAGTCTGCATTCCTAAGTAAATTTCTTCATTTTTGTCTTTTTTAAGCACAAAATATCAACATAAACTTAGTTTAAATCACTTGCATCCGTGTGCTGCAAGTAACAGCTGTTGTACTAAAGCAGAATATATTTAGACATGTCCACATGACACCATAAAAGTTATCAAGTTGACTAAGCACCTAACCTATTGAGATCATCTTGGAGAACGTTACAATCAGCCATTCATGACGTTTGTCGTCGCCATTGTCTGCTCAACATTTAAGGAAGATGTCGAATCAGCTTCACTCTCTTGTAATGTTAATCAATCAAGGGAAAGGTTTTTCAATATAGTTGACTAAAGAATGTGTGATCATGGCGTAATAGATATTGTAGATGACACAGTCTAATAAAACTGGATCATACTTCCCACTCTCTGTAATATTCTTTTCATGACAAACTGTACCAACCTGACCTATATCCCACTCACTAGGGAGTGTGCAAGTTGTGAGGGACTGGAACAACGTGCCAGCAGTTGTTCGGCATGATCGTTGATAATTCTCATGGTACTGTTTTGCTATTACTTTAGGAAATAAAGCAACTGTTCCAGATAAACATCAAATTGCTTTAAACTGTTTGAAGAGACCAATTATATCGCGCATTAATCCAAATGTAGTCTATAGTGTTTAAGAATAAAGACATTAGGTGGCAGGGTACAGTTCGTGTATTGGCCCACGGCAAATTTCATAACTTAAGTCTATGGTGTGACTTGTTAAGCTATTAATGTTTACTAATTAAATATATGTATACAATTGTGAACTAGGTTTTTCGGTCTTGTGTTGTTCTTGAAATTGATATCAGGCATGTACAACTTCCATTGTTACTCTACAGTATGTTGATAGTGAAATGCCAATAGTTGGCTAAGAAGAAGAGCTAGCCTTCCACAGCAGTAAACACATGGGTTTGAGGCAAGTAGAATATCTCAAAAACGGCTTAGATGACAACTGTTTTCAGTTACATTAGCCTGAGTACACACTGAGGAATAGGGCTTATGTTTGCACTGTGAGCATCACATGGTGTCAGAATATGACATTCGGATATGAAAATTGTAGGTATAAATTTGGGTTTGGGGTGTATATACTAATTCTGCTATGAAATACCATTAACTTCTATTGTCAAGTGGATAATATTCTTATGCTTTGTTGTAATCTTTGTATCTAAAAATATGGACCTTTTTGTTCTCACTTATATTTTGATTTTGCATGATTTTTTAAATACTAGGTCGCTGATTGCGGCATTAAATTTGTACATATAAGCTGCCCCTGACCCGTTATTAGTATTGTTATTTCTCTCCAAACCGAGACTAAGAAATTGTGCAGTACATGTACAAACACACGCACATCAAAACTCCAACTAAACCTAATCATAGATGGATAACATCTGGCAAGATATAATCTTCAGCAGAAACCAATTCGTAAACTACGGTGGCTATATCATCGTGATACACCGCCCCACTCAACCCAAGTCGGAATAAAACCAGCCAATAGACAATATACCACCTTCGTCATTTTAAGCAATAACGCGTATCCAACAATTGATGAAGAAGGAAGTAATAAATATACAGTAATCTGAGACGAAAGGAGGACGAAGACAGACATAGGACTGAATATCACATGGCTAAATATCTATCTTATCTGGAAGATAACAATGAGAGTAATCAGAAGTTCGAAGTGCTGACAAATATTGTCTTCCTTATACTTACCTCTAACAAGGTATTTTAGACCTAAAATAAGAAAGAATATCAATACAGCCAACGATCCTACATGTGCAGTGTTCATACTAATGACACCTGATAACTGTATGTTTATAGAGCCCGTCTCGCACTCGTGCAATTCGAGAATACACCTGGTTACGCCAGTGACGGTCTATGTGTATTATGCATATTCATTCATTTTGAATTGCGGCTCTTACAATCTTTTTAATGTTCCCTATTCATGCATTATATATTACATTGTTCAGACAAATGCCATTTAGTAACTCACAGTGGGTTTATTAACCCTTAGCCAAGCATTGGTGAGTTACGGGTATATATGCATTTTTAGTTACAGTTCTAAAAACTTATTTATTGTTCTCTCTTTGTGCATTATATTGCTATCTTTCTGTATGTTGAGTGACACCTGCATCGATTGATTTGTGTGTCTGTGTAGGTGTGTGTGAGAGAGATTTAGTTTTTTTGGTATGACTCGACAGGGGATCGAACCCACGACCTCCCGCATCCGAGGCGGACGCTTCAACCACTAGACCACCGGAGCGGTCCCTGCATTGATTGAACTATCCAGTGTAGTATAGTTATGCTCATTGGTCAGTGATTCATTTTAACAAGGTAAAAATCATACCGTATGTAATTCATACAGATAGTTGAAATCCAGCTCAGGATTCATTATGTCTGTTCTTCAGTTGCATACAAAGTCATTTTCTTTTGTGTCTTGCCATCTAATGGTAGAACAAAATCAACAATAAGTCCTACTTCAGAGTACTTTTAGTGCTTTGATCCTAACCTTATTCATTTAAGAAAAAGAACTGACCGTCTAAACTGAACTACAAACTAATGACAACTAATATACGTTTGTAAGTAAGTAAAACTTTATATTTATAAAATTGGTGTACTACCTTGGAACATGAATAATTTACTTACATGTAAATTATTAACATATATTTATTATATATTTAAGGTCGACAGTTTGACACTGCAGCATTTATGTAAATATTTTACAATGCATAAAACCATCTGATCAATAATATTACTGAAATAAGAAATATTTATCAGTCACAATGTTCAATAATAAATATAAAATGTATATTGTTATTAATAACGTTAGTTCATATAATATGGTAATTATACACGCTATACCCTTCTGATTAATAATATCCATAACCGGACACCGATCAAACAATTGTACATATTAAAGGTACCGATTGCTAAATCTACAAATGGAATAACATTTTGCCCGACTGTGATAATGTATGTTTATTTTTCTTTTTTGTGTTTATGTATGTTTATAAAATAAATATGGTCAACTAAGTAAGCTAGCGGTTGTGAGTTTGCATTCGATATAGAGTAGTCTGCGTTTATTAATAATGCGTATTATTATATATGTCATACAAAGTACCATTAATTTAACCATTGTTGTTACAGTCTATATTCAGTATTTATAGGAAAGTAAATGTATTCACACTATATGCGGTAAAGGACACACGGTACTAATTCAATGGAAGAACTGTGAACCAGTCTAGAAATGGGTGTGGGTGAAGAAATAATAGAGTATATACGGGTTTGGTGGTCCATAATTGGTTAATAATGAAAAGTAAAATTTTATTAAAAATATCTTTTGAAAGCTTATCCTATGTGTAATTAAAAAAAAATATAGACAAATTTCTATTGATGTAATTTTAGTATTTTTAAAGACTTGACTTAGGATTACTCAATAATGAAAGTAGCACTTGATTCGCTTGGTGCTGAATCAAAAACATGGACTTTATGCACATGTAGGTCAAGAAAATGCCGCGGCTCATATGGTGTTATCCACACAGAAGCTTGCACCAAGGATAGTTGTGCATGGAGAAATATAGGTCTGATCATCAGTACCCAGAGTGTTTTTGTTATTGAATTTTAAATATGATGGTGTTTCCATAAGTTTACTATGGGAGTTGAATTAGTACCGTGACTCCTAAAGTGTCGGCACTTTGTAACACGACTATATAATAATTGCGACTGAAATATGGAAAGCCGACCATGTTATAATTATGTTACAGAGAGTGTAACCCTTTCTACCTGACACCAATGCTATCGAATTAATCGATATATCCCTGGTCCAATTACAACCATCAATCATACAGGTTAAATCAAGAACTCTGAATACACCCAGAGATGTAAATTGCAAGACAATATTAAAAATAATTATGAAAATAATTATGACTTATAATAATATTGAATACGGGCGGCTAATGGTCGCTAGCTGATATTGTTAGCATGAGAGAGAACTGTTAGCATGAGAGAGAGAGAGAGAGAGAGAGAGAGAGAGAGAGAGAGAGAGAGAGAGAGAGAGAGAGAGAGAGAGAGAGAGAGAGAGAGAGAGAGAGAGAGAGAGAGAGAGAGAGAGAGAGAGAGAGAGAGAGAGAGAGAGAGAGAGAGAGAGAGAGAGAGAGAGAGAGAGAGAGAGAGAGCATTGATACAGTTTATTACAGGTGAACAGCTTCCACTTCAAGTAAAGATTACACCTTTATCCAATCTGAATGGCATTCTTTAATCCTTCCCTCCGAATTTAATGCAACACAAGCAACTCGAAAATTAATACATATCCGTTTTTGGAGGCGTTATGTCTGATGGGCAATATTACTCTTACCACAGTCATGCCACACACTGCACATTCCTTATTACCGCTTTTATGATGACAGCATTGAAACAGTTTCAATAATACTGTAAACTTGGAATGAATTTTTTTCGGCTCACTTTTTATAATGGTTTCTTCAACTTTCATTAATATATTGCGTCGCCTTTTTGTAACATTAACATTACGCTGTATTTCTTTGGGCACCTGACATTCTGTCCTCCTTAATAAACGTAGTTTCGTTTAGTGTTGAAATGTTATATTGTCGCAGTTGTGTTTTTTCTATAAGACAACATAATGATTGTTAAGCTTATTTTAAGCATATAATAAAACGGTTATTGACTGAGTATTAAACAGCAATGGACCTCATTAATGAGATGCAGAACACGATCACAAACTCTGGATATCCTGCACCACATGACCTTGAGTCCACTTTGTTTTGATACCCATACGTATTTCCCATAACTATATAATATGTTCGTATTTTCTCGCTCTGAAACCTTCTTTCTACTTAAGGTTTTTATTATAGGCTAGCAGCTGTGCCACCTGATTCAACACACAGAGGATATGTTCCAACATGGACGTCTTTCAGTTCACATCGTCGTGAGGAATAAAGAAAAAGAGAGAAATATCAAACACCAAACAGTTAAAGGTTAAAATCAATTTAGCAAATGTAGGGCATTTTCTTAATGACACGATTACATATATGACCACCTAGATCATAAAGAATACTAACTCTTATGTGGATGCAGTGGAGAGGGAAGAAGAGAGAGATTAATTTCCAGCTGTCGATTGATATGAAAAATAACCCGCTCGTGCTGTGGATTGATAATAAGTAAGCCTGCGACGCATTACGAGCGTACATGCAGAGTTATCATAAATAGCATGGTGGTTTGGAGAGTGCAATTTAAGATTCGTAAGACTGTGATGTCTAGACGTATATGGAGCGTATACAATCTAACTCAAAGAAAAATGTTATACCTATGAAAATCTTGCGCCTAATAAGGAAGAAATACCTTACCTGGTGTCAACAGACAGCATTGTAATTATTATCCTGTGGACAAATTTCTGGCATGAGTATGCCAGTAGGTATCGAAAAGTAAACAACTCTAATCAGCAAATATGTTTCAAATCTAGACCCAAAGTTTGCATACTTCGAATGAGATATACAAGAGGGAAGATAAATACTCTATATACTTAGTGTAGCTTCTAGATGAAACTAACTATATTATATCTGGCCCCGATGATATCGGCTTACCCTGGGCAAGAAAAACAACCACAATCTATAATCAAACGTATCCTATTCACTGCAGATGAGAATTTTCCTTCCGGTTGTGTTCAATTGACGGGACACGAAACAACCGATAAACTTTGATTAATCGTGGTCGTTAAATGATAAGTCATGTACTTTAGTGGTACATGATTGACAAATCTGGGGTTATTCCTTTACAGTGGTTGCAAGTTATAAATAGCTGAATACACTCATGCTGTCCGGAAATCATATTTTGACCCTGGCGAGGTAGTTACTTTGCGTTTGGTAGAACTGAAGACGTATTTGCCAATATAAACGAGTGCCTCTGCCATAAGGCGATCAATGTTGAACCACACGCAGAGAGTTGCCAACAATTTATTACATACAACATTTCACTGAACAGAAAACTAAATTAAGTTCCAGGTTTGGTAAGAAGATAATTGCATCAAGCTGAACATCGTACCGGACATGATTAGAAATGGGTCACCAATCTCATTCCTGCAGTTTAAAAATAAAATGATGCTGTTGTAGTTGATATAGGGTTTAACGCCATTGTTCAGCAAAAGATAGGCTATACATGGCAACCAATATAAATGGTGGAGAAAGAACCTGGGAAACACCTGAAAGAACCGCTGACCCACGATAAGCCATTGGCAAGCTTTCTCATATACCCACACTGGCGAAACCAAGACTCGAACTCCATCAGACAGAGTTAAGATGAAAGAAATTCGTAACGATCAGCGTTTTAGACCACTCGGGAACTCTAGGCGCCAATAATAAAATTAAAATTATGTGTAGTTATTATCTACGTATAAAGATTTTCGGAGCCTTATAGGGTGGGTGGATAGCATTGCGAAATATCACGTGTAGTACGTAATAAGTAAAAAGTTGTAAATTATCAATTTAAACAATTGTCATCAAAATATTAAGAGGCGGGCAATATATTTCTATCAGCTAAATGTGTCATAGATATTACATTCTACGCCCAATTATTATTGACATAGCATTGAGCTATAGCATTGTAATGATCTTGTTGAACGAACATTAACCAATGAGCAACTAGTGTTAATTTTTTATTATACGAGTGGTTTGGAGAACAATGGATCTACCAAATATTACGATGCCATGCAATGAGGACTGCCATATTGGTCATCTTCCAATCGACCGAACCTGCGACCCTATGGCTATCAAACTTTCCATGCTCAAAAAACAGTTATATTCAGTATTGAAAACAGCAAAGAGTTCCAAAACAGCCTATGTATGTATGTATGTATGTATGTATGTATGTATGTATGTATGTATGTATGTATGTATGTATGTATGTATGTATGTATGTATGTATGTATGTATGTATGTATGTATGTATGTATGTATGTATGTATGTATGTATGTATGTATGTATGTATGTATGTACGTACGTACGTACGTACGTACGTACGTACGTACGCATGCATGCATGCATGCATGTATGTATGTATGTATGTATGTATGTATGTATGTGTGTGCGATTTAGTTCTTTTCTGTGTAAATTTAACGAATAGTTATTTCTGTTCATTTTTGTTTATAGTTTGTGCACTGACTAAATTAGTTTTAATCGATGTACAGTGTAACAATTTCGAAATTGTTTTAGAAATTCTTGAAGCACGCAACAGAGAACCTTTACAGCTGGCATTGTG